ACGCCTTATTAGGGATGCCACTGTCTGCCAGAGGCCTTGGTTTGCTTGAGCTTTTAAACCAAGGGACTACACTGTACCCCCATCACTTTATTTTGAGAGCTATTTTGGGCAATTTGTGAACATAATGAGCTTAGGGCGGTTTATAGAAATTTGCTGAGAGAAAATGCCAAAGAATGTATTACTAGCTAACACTTAGAACGGGCTAGCGGCACCTTGAGGTAAAAAAAATGCATCCACCCCTCTACGTTTGAGCCCATTATAATCAGGAAAGATGGTCCAGGCATTCCCACAGCAACAGCGGGCTCTGCCTGGAACTCCCAAGGTGGAATTTAGGTTCTCAAGAACAACGAGGTGGAGGACTTTGGTTCTCAGCAAGGACCAAATTTCTGATGAAAAATGTCAAGAGAGTTTGAAGAATGGTGGTGTGAACTGAACACATCTCCTGCTGTGACTGGGGCTTCCGCCTGCTGGAGCGCAGGTACACGAAGGAGTAGCTGACGGGTGAATGAATGAAGTTTACGTCTGCTCGGTATAACAGTGGGCTTGAGGACGGCAGGATGGCACAGGACAGGGCAAAGCTCAGATCTGGTGTTCCCAAGGTTGCTATGAGTAGCAGGCGACTTGATGGCATCTAACAACATGCGGAATTTATGTGACCTGGATGGGTGTTGGGGGAACACCATCCTAACACTTGTGGGAACCCATGTGCCACTGTCTTCATCACTGCAGCGGCTGCCACTATGCTCGTGGCAGAGGCTGCGGCAAGTGGTAACTGCTGAAGGCAGTGATGGGAGCACAGTGACAGGAGACACACGAGGAGGAATGAGAGAAAGCCAGCCCTGCCCACTGTCCCACCCACTGGAGCAGCAGGAGAAATCAGAGCTGCCAGCTCCTGTCACTGGCCCCCTGCCTGCTGGACAGAACCCAGATGTCCCCTGCCACTGCCCCCTGACAGAACTCAGATGCCCCCTGACCGCCGGACGGAACCCAGATGCCCCCTGCCACTGCCCCCCTGCCTGCTGGACAGAACCAAGATGCCCCCTGCCACTGCCCCCGACAGAACCCAGATGCCCCCTGCCACGGCCCCTTGCCTGCTGGACAGAATCCAGGAGACTCCTCTCACTGTCCGCTGCCAGGAGCCCCCTCTCACTGTTCCCTGCCCACCAGACAGAGCCCAGGAGACCCCTGTCTCTGTCCCCATGCCCCAAACAAAATCCAGGAGACCCCTGCCACTGCCCCCTGCCCGCTGGACAGAACCCAGGAGCCCCCTCTCATTGTCCCCTGCCCACTGGACAAAACTCAGGGGGCCCATGCCACTGCCCCCATGCCTGCCAAACCCAACCCAGGAGACCCCTGCCACTGTCCCCTGCCCACTGGACAGAACTCAGGAGACCCATGCCACTGCCCCCATGCCTGCCAGACAGAAGCCAGGAGCCCCCTGCCACTGGCCCCTGCCCGCTGGACAGAACCCAGGAGCCTGCGCCCGGCTCCACATCCTCTGTGGAAAGGCAGATGCAAGGCCTCTCTCTCACGTGTGACCCAGGGCTGCAAGTGTTTCAATCTGGTTTATTTAGAAAACCGAAAGCCTGCTGGCATCAGGTGGATGCCGACACGCAGCAGCCCACAACCGGGTTTCTGAAGAAGCCTGTCCATTTTCCTCCTGTGGAGCTGCTGGCGAATTCGAGCTGCTGAACTTTTGGCAAAGCTGTGCCATCGGAGCTCTTTCATTTGAAAAAAATAGGAGGAAGTAATAATAAAAGAACTTTCTCTTATTTTGGGGGGGCGAAAGCAGAAACTTGACGGGACTGTTTATGTGGTTGGATGTTGCCTGAAGACACTGATTGGTGTATGGAGGTATTTGAAGATAAAAGCTCTTTATTTTCAATGACCTCTCTTTGGTTTGAGCTCTAGTGGCCCAGTGGGAAGAAGCTGCACTAAAAATGCACAGGTATGTATTTCGAATGCACCAGCTACTCTGTGGGAGAAAATAGGCAGCCTCCTCCCATGTGATTATGTGATTTGCTGCCTCTGAAAAATCTGTGGGTCAGCTCTAACTTGGTTCCAACTTGACAGCAAAACAATAAAAACAATCTTTGGGTTTTGGACTAAAAAAAACTAAAGGACCCAAATAATGAAGAATAAGAATGTACCATAACAGCGGAATCATTCCCTTCATTTTAATGACTTCTATGAGGGACACATACATACATAGGAGCAACGGTGTCACTCTGGAGACTAAGGTGCACCTGATACAGGCCATGGTCTTTGAAATCACTTGCTATGCATCAGAGAGTTGGACAATGACTAGGAAGGCTAGAAGGAGAATTGATGCCTTTGAGCTGTGGTGCTGGAGAAGAGTATTGAATGTATCATAGACTGCTGAGAGAACGAACAGGTTCATCCTGGAGAGGGTAAAGCCAGACTATTCCTTGGAGGCAAGAATTCTGAAGCTTCGTCTGACATACTTTGGACATGTTGCAAGGAAGGACCAGTCCTTGGAGAGGGATGTCATGCTTGGGAAGGTGGAGGGACAGTGCAGGAGGGGAAGACCCTTTATGAGGTGGATTGGTTCTGTGACGGGGGTAACTGGGGTGGGTGTGTCAGAGACAGACTGGCACAGGATAGAGCAGAGTTTAGGGCTGCTGTACATAGGGTTGCTATGAGTTGCAAGCAACTCGATGGCACATAACAACAACAACAACAACAACAACAACAGCTATGAGGGAAGTCACTCACTCACTCTTATCATTGCCGTCTAGTCAGAACTGACTCAACTGACCCTCCAGTGGGTTTTCAAGACTGTACCTCACACAGGAGGAGATAGCCTTTCTCCTGAGAAACCACAGGTGGATTTGAACTTCCAGAGTGGTGCAGTCTTTGAGTTAATATAGCTCTCTGTAGGCTACACCTCTAGAGCTACCTCAAGGATGTTAACTAGGAAGCTGTTCTTTTTAATTCAAATTACAATGCACTTGAGCACGTTTATATCTATGGTAGAAAACCAAGCCAGGTGATGCCACGTCCACTCTGACTATGGCAACCACAGGACCAAGCCAGCTGCTGCCAACACTGGCTAAGGAAACTTTCTAAAATGAGGACCTTTTGAGGGGAGAATTGTACCCCATAGATTTTCAAGGGCTGAGTTTTCAGAAGCAGCCAGCCAGTTCTTTTTCTTGAGGTGTTTGTTCCTCTGTGGAGTCAACACTCTAGGCCTCCAGCTAGTGGGCAGGTGAGTTTACTAGTCTGCACCTCCCAGCGACTGCACGTTTCTATGCCAGGTGTCTGCTTTCCAGAGAACAGCAGCCTGCAAATTCTGGGAACAGTAGGGTACGGGCTTGTTGCCTCTAATTCCTCCACTTAGATTTTAAACACTGGTGTATTTTAGATGGCAGAGAACCAGGGACAAGTCTCATGAACTGGCCCTCAATTAGTTTTTTTTCTCTTGGAAAAAAAATCCTTTTACATCATCTGATTTTGTGGCCAAGAAGTGGCAGCCGCCTCAACCTGATTTAGAAGCTGACTAACCTCCAGGCACAGACAATCAGCATCCTACATGGTCATGTATTTACTCCTTTATTGGTTTTTAAGTTTGGAAAGAAATATTATCCTTCATGTGTTGAGAGGTCAAGTCAGTGGGTCAATTTGCAGTCTGTTTTCTCATTTTCTCGAGGCCATAAATAACTCCAAAAGGAAAGCAAACGAAGAATTAAACAACCACATTTTAATCAATAAATATGAACATCAATTTCTTAATCCACCTGGCAGAGTAAAATTTATCACTAATTCAAAACACCACTTGTAAACAAAATGCAAAAATGTTTGCCATCAATTTCTCCCAATTCACACAGAATCAGAAGTTACAAATTTTTTTTTCACTTCAGCATAAGATTCGGAATAATCTAAACATTTCCAAGTAATATTTTAAATTTAAGCCGATCGTAGGAAACACACAGATATCAGACAACTCAATGCATAAAACGATTGCCTGGATGAACATCAAGGAAAATGATGGGTCAGTAGTCACATTATATACCAGGTTTCGTATCCATTTATGACTCCTGTCCTGCCTCCCATCCCTTGCTCTGCCCTGTACTTCCTGGGAGGGGAGGGATGGTGGCAAGACATAGGTGGAAGTCCAGAGGGCAGAAGGCTGACACTAGAAAGTGTCTTTGTATCTGATTTGGCTTTAGCACCAATTTAATCGCAGGCAGTGGCTCTGCCCCATTACGGTTCCATTTGCCACACTCCCTCCGTGGTCCTATCTCCAGCTGGGAAATTCCCAGCTTAGTCCTAGGTGCTGTGGGCAGCCCAGGGGGAACCATGTCCAGATGCTTAACTTTTCATCCTCTATGTCTATCAAATTCTTCTATTAAATTCCCTATCGATTTCTATTAAATTCCCTCTGTTCAAACACATAGGATGGTTCCTGTTTCCTTGATTTGATCCTGTCTGATAACAGGCTAGAATCACTAAATAGTTTTCTTTCGAACTTATAATTTTTGCATGAGAATCTGTCCTAAGTCAATTAAAAAAATAATCACTCAAACCACACTCGATACTCATTTCCTGAAAGAGCTGCGGGTGAACGTCCCCAGGGCTGTGCTTTGTCAAGTACTGGGATGCACCCCGCCTGGTGCAGACGTGAAGGGCATTTTCCACCAATGCCACCCTCACAGTGGGCACAGCCTGGAGTCGATTCAGGAGGTCGTTTCTGTTGTGTACAGTGAAGTGTGATGACACAGTAGAAGAAATACAGACAGAGAGTAATCTCAAGAGGCGATTGCAAAGTCATCAAAGGAGTAACACCGTTAAAAAAAGGAGTTTCTGGAAAGTAAGACATTAAGGCAGCACCGGATCACTTCTTCCCTGTTGGATCATTGCGTTTTCCTGAAATTAAAATCCCTCAGAAGGTTTGGATATTTCGAGAGCTTCCACACCACCACATCTGATTCATCACCCAATGACCCACTGCTTCTCGGCTGGTGAGCACCCGCGGGTAGCTACTTTTCAAAGTAGAGTTCCTTGGTGAGCATGGACACCATGCATGGGATCTGCTTCTTCTCGTGGAAGGTTGGGTCCTCAGACTGGGACTCGAAATCCCTGGCCACCCTGTAGTTCACCCTGGTGAGGATCTGCATAATCTCCAGCTCCTTCCCGTGCTCGTCCAGGACGGAGCAGAGGGCTTGCACGAACCAGGAGCCTCTTCCTGGGTTCCTCCAAGAGAAATAGCCTTCAATAGAAGAGAAGAGAGATACGATCAGCTCAAATGGCCACGGCTCGAACTCAGCACTGAGAGTGGGCTCCGGCGCCTCACAGCTGATTTTCTGAATCAATTTCACTCTACCTTTTTGAGAGTCATTTATGAGAATTAGGTGAGTGAACTCAGCGTGCAAGCTTAAAGACGCTCCTCCCAAGCTTTGGTGTTGCAGCATTGAGTTCTAGAACATCTAATGTCACCAGGGGTTGGGGCTGTTGGCTACTGCAGTGAACTCTTTTTCCTTTAAATTAATTTTAATGAAAATTTGCAGAGACTTTGGATTTCCATTCATTCACTGTTAAACTTTTCTCCCTAAGCCCCCCCCCCCCAGTATACGCTTCTCTTTGAAAAGTAAAAGAAAAGCTCCCCCATTGTTTTACAATCCATCCCCCAGGTGCACTCTGCTATGCAGCCTTTGTTCTAGACTCCTGTCATGACAATAATACCTAACCACTTATCCCTTTTAAACAGTTTTCTCCCCCATTTGTTTCAATGCAGTACACATTATTTATCCCATCTTTCTCAGTCTCCCCGCAACTCCGATGTCAGTCCTGTTTTACAACAATGGCACTATGCATTATTTGTCCCTTTGTGACTGAGATATTTCACTCAGCATAATGTCCTCCAGAGCCACCCATTTTAATATTAATATTTAATATTGCATGAGTTCTTTGTTTTTCAATGCAGCGTAGTATTCCATTGTGTGAATATACCACAGCTTCTCTATCCATTCGTTTGTTGATGGGCACTTAGG